GAGAGACAAAAGGAAGGAGAGAGAGAGAGAGAGAGAGAGAGAGAGAGAGAGAGAGAGAGAGAGAGAGAACACATGGGCGGCAAGCCACTCGCACCAGGTCACATGACCAGCAAGCCACTCCCACAAAGGAGGGCACACCCACAGAGTAGGTTCGAAATTTTTTTGAAACCCACCACTGATCCTGATGTACCCCATCATTGTGTGTTCTCTACTAAATTTCAGTACATTTCTAGACTTCATCTAATATTTATACAGGTCCCGGTTGGATTTATGCAAAGCCAACAAGACTTTCACTTCCTATTTAAACTCTCATTCTGCTTCTTCGGGTTCAACTCAAGGTGCAAATCTCATCCCTCCAAACTTCTTCACAATGACAACCCACTTCTTAATTCTCATCATGCTGGCTGCCTTCTGCAAAGGTCTGTAATTTGGTCCATGTTGAGTTTTTTTCTAGCACTCAAGGGAATTTCATATCTTAACTAGGGCTCTTACTTCCTAAACCTCATCCAATTGTGCTTGGCATTTTTTTCTCATTAGGTGGCCTCTCTCAGATAGCTCTGACTCAGTCAGATGCAGTGGTGAAGAAACCGGGAGAATCCCATAAACTGACTTGTGCTGTTTCGGGATTCAGTGTTAACAGCTATGGGATGCATTGGGTAAGACAGAAACCTGGCCAAGGACTGGAATGGCTTCTTTACTACTTCTCATCTAGTAGCAACTATTATTCCCCAACAATCCAAGGACGTTTTACTGGCTCCAAGGACAGTTCCAACTACTATCTGCAAATGAACAGCCTAAAACCTGAGGACACAGCTGTCTATTACTGTGCAAGAGACACAGTGAAATAGATCTTAAGGGATCTCATGCAAAAACCTTTCCTTTTGCTACTGAAATGTCTCCGTAGGGGACAGCAGAGAACCACAAAACAAGTTGTGTAGCCATCTGGAATAAAATCACTCAGGCAGGAAAGAGAATGAAAATGAAAAGGCAAAACAGTGGCCACTACTGGTGCCTTTCTTACTTCTCTGTCGTTGCTGTGTCATTTTTACCATCTTCTTAATTGGCACTTATCCACCCAGCCTGCAATTGCAGCTCTCAGAGTTTAACACCCACGAACAAACTATACCGGCTCAACTAGCATTACCTCTTGCTGCCCTAGAGACATCACTCCGGCCATCCAGACCCTACGTCCTGCTACACATTTGGCTACCCGGGTCCAACATCTTTGGCGGTCCTTTTAACCATCTGGACTTTTGGGACTTTTCGACCTCACCAGAGGGGGGGAAATGCCACCCTCCCCCCCCCCAGTATACCCTCAATGGATTGGAGCTGGGCTCTTAATTATTTTATTAACTATTTTATCAACTAACTGCCACAGGAAGGGAGAGGAGCGGAGTACCCCTCCCCCTCCTATTTTAACCATCCTGATCACTGAGAGCCATTTGGCTCTGCCTGGACTCACACCTTAACAACTGCGCAAGTTATCTTTTCTTCTTCCTTTTTTTCTACTCCTTTTTTTCTCTCTTTCTTTGTATGGGATATGTTAGGGGTATGTGTGTAATTGAATGAATGATCCCACTTTTATCCCTATTATTGTTGTAATTTCCTCTTTTAATTGCCACGTGGGGATTGTCTGAGTGAGTGAATGAGTATGTATGATTCGGAGGACCTGCCGAGGAATGCGGGG